GGTTAGTAGGTAGGATATGATGGAGTTGGGTTCTGTGTCCATGTTGATAATTATTAACTAACAAAGTGCACGTCTAGATCGGTGAGGATGGTATACGAGAAGCGAGGATGGAATCTGATCCATGTTGGGATGGCAATCAAACCCATGACCGCGGGTACCCGACCGCCCACGACCCAGTCAACGCGGGGAATCCCCGCTTTGACTGGGTATGGTGCGGGTATGGGTAAAACCCGCAAAAAGTTTGATGGGTATGGGGCGGGTATGGTTTTACCCTCCCCCGCCCCATACCCATACCCATACCCGCCCCACCAAGAGAATCAAGATTATGTTAGTTAATTATTACTTAGTAAATGTATCAAGAGTTTGAGCATAATAATTTAAAAAATATTGTAGTCTATATTATGTATTAATGGATGTTTTAGGATCATATTCTTTGAATCGTATTTAGAAAATGACCGTGTTTTGTTGACTTTATGATATAATAGGATTGTTTATGGTTATAATTAAAACTTTTCTGGTAAGTTTTAGATATAATAATGGTGGATGTACGGGGATGGGTATTACCCATGGGTATCCGAAACCCACGGGTATGGGGATGGGTTTGCCAAACATTTCCCCGCATGGGTATGGGGCGAGTATGGGTTTGGGTATTTGAAGATGGGGATGGGGATGGTTTAGGCAAACCCGCTCCAAACCCGCCCCATTGCCATCCCTAGATCCATGGATGGTAGTATATTCAAGCAAATCGATTTTGAGTAATAAGGTGAGTGTAAAGGGGGTAAATTCTACGCCTTACGATTTTTCAAGTATTTTCTTTGATTATTTTTAAGTATTGATTTACGTGATGTGCGTGTAGTATTTGATTCATGTTTGATATTGCATGATTATGTTTGATGATATGTGCGATCGTTGAGCTATGATTTGAAGTGAATTGTGGATGAGTTTATTTCTTACTTGAAGCTTGATGTCAATGAGTTAGTGTTAAAGTTTAAGAGCAAGTACTTTTTAAGAAGTAACTCACCTTAAATAAGGTGAAGTCGTTTTAAGTGTTTTTAGTCACTAGCGCCAGTCTATTGCCATTTGAGATTTTCAGATCGAGCAGCAGTTATGCTCTTGAGATCTTTGAGACAGAGCAGCAGTTATGCTCTTGAGACTTTTAAGATGAGCAGCAGTTATGCTCTTGAGAATCGTGGTGAAGAGGCACCACGATAAGTTTAAGATGTTAGGGGGATGAATCGTTACGACTTCCCTCACTAAGTTTAAGTTTAAGGAAAGCCTTGATGGCTTCTCATACGTATGAGTTGGCAGCCGGACTAACTAGTGAGGGATCCACATGTCAGTCAAAAGATTTAAGTCAAGATTTGAGCTTTAAGAGAGGAGAGTAACTTCAACTCCCTCAAAGTTTAAGAGTTAAGGTTTTAAGATTGGAAGTACAAACAACTTCCACTAGTTAAAGTTAAGTGTTTAAGTAAAGTACTCAAGTATTAGAAGTATTAAAACGTAAGGGCGTAGACTTACCCCATCTCACTCACCAGTTTGAGGAGCTAGAGGAGCAGTAAGTGAGCAGCGAGTTCGAGGGCAGCCAGCTAGAGGAGAGCAGTATAAGCGTCACGGAGGATGCTTAGTCAAGGATTTCAGTAGCAACAACTTCAGAGTATTAGTTATTTACATTTATGAGTATGAGTACAAACTGGAGATTATTTTGAGATCAGATTGAGATTTTAAAGTTTGAGTTTATTTGCCCACGTGTTAGAGCTTTGCTTCGAACTTCAAGTGTGTTTTCAGTATTTTTATTTATGAAAATTTTTCCCACTGCAATTTAAGATTTGAGTATTTTATTTATCAAGGGCATCTTAGTAAAATTAGTACCCGGCCGGGTTATGGTGTCACATTTTGGTATCAAAGCCGGTCTTCCTCTGTTCCTTGATTTCCAAGGAATACTGGAATGTCGGTCTCAGTTTTTAAAGGCTTTTGTTTTAAAGGAAAGGAAAACGAGTCAAGGATCTTCTTTTAAGAGTTTATAGAATCTCCAGTCTACTCTAATCATATTAAGGTGAATAACTATGACGGCACGGCACCAAGGGATGGTAGCCAGGGTACGATTGTTTAAGTGTAGGCTAGGATGCGATTTAGTTACCCCGTCGTGGGACGTCAAATAAGAGATTGAGGCATATGGCGATCATCAGTATGAAAGGAAGGATGAAAGAAACGTGACCAACCCAAGTAGAATCTCAAAGGCTCTCAAGACCAAGTATCTCTTCGACATGATGGATAGTAGGTTTTCAATTAGTTAACCAACTACTCAGACGTTAGCAAACAGATCATCATCATCAACCTAGAGAAGGAAGGAGGAACGTTGCAAAGGTCTGTGGAGGTAGAATCAAATGTGCGAGGACTTCAACTCCAAACACCGGCAAAGAGGTGCCAATTGAAAGGGAATACCTCAAGGATTTTGAAGGAGTTGAGAGAGCACTACGAGGATTTTACTACTAGGAAACAAGTGGATAATCTAATAAGTGATAACGATGTAAATGCACATGTTTGCGCCCCTAGTTCTTATCCGTTTGAGGAGTATAGTCGTGTGTTTTGGCCTATTTTACGCCGGGTTGTGCTATTTTGTCATGTTTCAGGTCCCAAGCGTTAAAGGGAAGGCTAACCGCGAGTTTCGGGGCATTCGGAAGTCATTTCGGTGAGCTGGAGCCAAAACACGGGCAGACCCAAGGCATTACACGGCTGTGTACTTCTGGCCGTGCTTTTTATGCTGAGAGCAAATTTGGTTTGGCCAATTCAGTTGCAAACACGGGCACTGGAGCACGGCCGTGTTCAGTCAAAGCACGGCCGTGTCCATCGCGAAGCACGGCCGTGTTTCCACCACTTGCTGGCCGTGTAATTAAGCCCTGGCCGAGGCACGGGCGGAGTCAGGCAAAGCACGGCCGTGCCCTCGACCGTGCTTTGGCCATTGATGCTTTTAAGCAGATTTTCAGCCACAACTCAAGGGGATTCGAGTTTTAGAGAGAGAGATCAGTTCCTAGAGAGAGAAAGCGACGAGCAAGAGTTCCCAAGTGCCCTAGATTGATCTTCAACACCATTGGAGGCCAGCTTGAGCTTGGAGAAGTGCCAATCAACGTCCAGAAGCAGGAATCCATCCTTCGCAGTATGAATTCCGTGTCTGATTCTGCTTTTGCTTTCTTCTCCATGGAGTAGTTCTCCCATTCATCTGGGTATGGAGAACCCTAGATTTGTATGTTAGGCTTTGATTGTATGAACCCAAGTACTGATTCTATGATTGATTATATTCGATTGAGGTTTGAATGATTGAATGACTTGAATCCTGATCAAATTCCTGTTGTTTCTGCTTTGACCTAGAATGAGAATATCTGCCTAGGTTGATAGAGTATCCTTGATTGAAGGTAGGGAGTTGGTGACTTTAGTCGAGGAACCAACTCACTATTCTGTACCGGATTTACTCTGGTAGTGGAGGTTTTGTTCTTAGGGCCTCAATCTGTCTACTCTGGTGGAGGTTAGTCGCCCGCTAGAGATTCAGATTGAGAGGGTCTGAAGACCTTTAGTCGAGACTTCAGGCTGTTTAAGAACCTTCCGCAGTATAACTTTCATAGAAACTGAACTTGGTAATTACAATCCGGCTTAACTGCAGTCTAGGGGGAACCATATAAGGGTGACCTCTCTTAACCTGAATACAACAGTTTACTTGCTTTGTTAGTTTGATAGTTTAGACTTGCATGCCAGTTTCATTTCTAGATAACAAGAATTCACTGAATAGTCATCACATCTAGGACCCGGGTTGATAATTAAACCCAAACCCGCTATACTACGCTTTAGGAAGTGGTTTCACTTGGCCAATTCCTAGGGTGACAGTAGAGTCGAGTCAAGTTTTTGGCGCCGTTGCCGGGGACGGCTAGGTTGTTGAAGAAAAGTGATTTCTGTTAATTTAGCTTTTCTTTTTGCTTTGTTTTCTTTGTCCCACTTGTGCCTTCACGGGTTTGTTGCTTGAGTGTGTGTAGGTAGTGCATGACCTGTAGCCAGTCGGGAGGTTTACTGCCGTTGAATCCAAAGATTGACCGCACCTGTCGCCAGCTCAGGAGACAACAGCGAGCTAGACTGGCTACGGAAGAGCGCATAGACGGCCACCTGAGCAGCGATTCTGAAGAAGAGCACGGGATGGACGGAGACTACAACCAGCACCAGGGGAATCCACAGCAGGTTCCCCCGGTGAATCAGGTCCTGGGGAACAACCCCATACCCCAGGATCATGGAGTTCATCATCCACCGCAGCCGGGTCCCACCCTAGAGTACTAGTACACTCCGCGGATTGCTGACATCCGCCCGGTCATCCTCTACCCGCCGATCCCAGCAAACAACTTCGAGATCAAGCCATGCTGGATTCAGCTCATCACATCTTCTATCCAGTTCCATGGCTTGAAGAATGAGGAGGCCAGGGTGCATCTTTCCCGTTTTCGGCAGCTGACGAACGGGTTCAAGCTGAATGGTGTCCCCGATGATGCGATCCGCCTTCATCTCTTCCCCCATTCTCTGGCGGGGAATGCTAAGAGGTGGTTGGAGACCCAGCCCCCATTGTCCATCACCTCTTGGGACGATCTGGCGGACAAATTCGTGCACAGGTATTATCCGGCATAGAAGACTACAGAGATCCAGCGGGTGATAACGATGTAATTGCACATGTTTGCGCCCCTAGTTCTTATCCGTTTGAGGGGCATATTCGTGTGTTGTGGCCTATTTTATGCTAGGTTGTGTTCCTTTGTCCCATTTCAGGTCCTAGCACATAAAGTGAAGCATAGGCGCAAGTTTCAAGTCAATCAGAGATCAATTGACGATTCGAGAGAGGAAACTCGGGCATGACCTGAAGAAGAATGGATTTCTACCTCACTTTATGGACAAAGAAGCATGCAAGCTTGTTATGAAACGAAAGAGGACGAGACTACGAGCGTCTGGGATCAAACGGCGATTGATTCGGAGTCCGGATGAGGGAGAAACGAAGCATTAAACAGAGGCTGAGCGAGTTGCACGGCCAGAATGGTGATATGCACGGCCGTGCACCCTGGCCGTGCGAGAGGGCTGAAGTTCGACTAAATGACACGCTGCGTTTTGAGTTGCACGGCCAGAATGGTGATATGCACGGCCGTGCTCCCTGGCCGTGCGATTCGGGATTTCCTGGTTTTAAGCCAAATTCCGAACCAAGAGGGAGAGCTGGGTTTTTGGATCCCAAACACCCAAGGGACGAACTCTAGAGAGAGAGGGCGATTTGAGGGCATTCTTGGAGTAGAGAAGGAGGATTTCTTCGCCTTGGAAGCTCGAGGAACAAGCGCGGACTTGAAGACTGATCATCTGAAGATTCTTACTGCAGTCTCTCTCTTCTCTATGGAGTAACTTCCCTTCACTTAGGTTTTGAGGAACCCTAGCTATGTTTGTTTGATTGGATGATTGTATGAGTACTCTGACTGGATAATCTTGAGTTCATATTCAATCTATGCATGTTTTCATGATTCAATTCTGCTTTAGTCGAGATTATTGATTCTGCTTTGATTCTATGAGAGGGAATACCTGATTAGGTCAATAGAGCACCATAGATTGATAGTAGTGGATCGATTGCTTTAGTCGAGGGTTGATTCACTGCTTTGTATCGATTGAGAACCTCTTTCGATAGAGGGAGTCTAGTTCAGAACGCCTTGATCAGTTGTTCTAGAGAAGGATACGTCCCTCTAGGCAATTGACTCAAGAGGGCCTTGTTCCTTTAGTCGAGACTCAAGGTCTAGTCAAGGATTCTCCGCATTGTGAATGAAAGTGAAACAGGTTAGAGATCATCAATCATTAATCTGGCTAGTGGCTAGGGGGAATCATACCTAAGTGAGTTCCCAACCTGTAATTAGATTAACTTTAACTGTAGTTTGCTAGAGTAGTTTTAGTTCTTTCATCTTAATTTGGTTTGCTAAATAATAAACTGAAGCTGAGTAATAGTAACTCTAGAGACCCGTGGATTCGATATTTATCACTTGAGCCACTATACTGCAGTCCCTTCCATTGGTTACACTTGGCCTCTGTTAGGTGTTGTGTGTTATAGCGAGTCAAGTTTTTGGCGCCGTTGCCGGGGACTTTCTAGAGTATTAGGAAAGGCAGAAGTTTGTTACTTTAGCGTTTTTATTTTCTTTTCTTTTCCACCCTTGCTTTTCACTTGGGTGTTTTTGTTTTTGTTGGTGCAGATCTGAATCATGGATCCTCATGGCTTCTCCAACAATTGGGGGTATCCACCACCACCCGAGTGGTATTACCCTGAGACTCCCTGGAGCAATCAAGGCGGAGAAGACTATGGATTCGGGTTCCAGCACCAACCCCCTTACTACGGAGAACAACCGGACCCCTGGGCATATCAAGAACAACCTCATTATCAAGAAGAATTTCTCCCACAACCAGAAGGGCCATCGGCGCTGGAGTTACTCATGGAGCAGTTTGCTCGAGACTGTGAGAGAACATGCTCCAGGATGGATCAGTGTGTCCAGGCCTATCGTGAAACAGATGAGATCCTCCTGAGCCTTAAGAAGAGCGTCGATGATCTTGAGCGATCTTGGGCCCCACCTGCTCCAGATCACCCTTCTGCTACCATACAAGAGGAGGAGGAGGAAGAAGAAGGCTACAAGGGCATTGTGGAACACACTGAAGTTGTCACGGAGAGCTCCCGTGATGATCATGATCAGGCGTGTCATGTCGTAGCCGACCACACCTTCCCACACCCCAAACTAAGCTTTGAAGAGGCGGGCATGAGTGAGGAGATGCAAGAAGATCTCATGAAAGAAATTGCTTGGCAACTTGCTCTCCAATCCGTGCTTGAAGAAGAAGAGCAAGAAAGGGTGCAGAAAGAAGTTGTGGAGGATGACGAAAGTGAAGCTGGAGGAGTTCTTGATCATTTCCCAGGGGTGATACCACATGAAGAAGGAAGGGAGGTTGAAGAGGCGATTGGTGTCCAGGCTGAGGACGAAGTTGAGGTGGAAGAGGCTTGCACCGGCCATGAGTTACATGTGATATCTCCACCAAACTTCGAGGAACTGCTTGGCAAGGACCCATTTGCAGTGTCTCTTTGCCAGACCAAGGCCACCTCGACATCGGTCCCTCTTGGTGGACGCGATGGTGGCCAATCAATGCTGTCATATCTGGTTTGGGGCAATGAGACGAGAGAAAAGAAGAAGAGGTCTCGAGGGTGGAGACGTTATCTGCATCAAGTACACGAGCTTCCATCACCTGTCATACCACATGCTCGTGACTTGAGACTCCACCTCATCGACGAGAACCTCAACTTCAAGGAGGTTCTAGCATGGACCGAAACTTAGGAGCCATCGTCCGGCTCACGACGTGAAAGAAGCGCTTGTTGGGAGGCAACCCAACCAGTCGGTTTGCATCTCTTTCTCTATTTCTCCTCGGTTGAGTCAGTTTTGTTATTTGATTTTAGAGTCAATAACTCAACCTTTGTGAGATTTTGTGTGGTGTTTGTGTTCTGATTACTCTCTCTTTCTGGAATGCACCGCCTGACCCGTTCATCATCATTCACCCTTGATCTGGTAAATTCGTTCTACCCTCTTTATCTTTCCTCCATTGAGGACAATGTCGTGCTTAAGTGTGGGGGGATGTTCGATTATTTATGCGGGTGAATGTTTGGCTGTTTGTGTGCTTGGAGCCTAGTCCACTGTCCAAATTTTTAAATTTGAGGGCTCCAAGTACGTGTTCCTTGCAATTGCCTGCTCAGTATGCTTTGAATTGACAGTCTCTATAGTAATATGCAACCTAGGGAGGTAGTGTAGCACTATGGAGGATGTTGATGCATTTAAGAAATCTCATGTCTTCTTCATATAAAGTTGGTTGATTGAGTGAATTAGTGATCTTAGGACCCTTGAATTGTGTGGTGTTGTGGATTCTCTACCTGTCATGGACTCTTGTATCATGTTTTGAAAATAACAGGTGCTCGAAAATGTGCTTCAAAATAAACGTCTCCCGTGCAAATAGGGCGAAAGTGTGTAAGGGGAGACGGGAATCCGTTCCCAATTTCCACCTACTACCTCCAGCCCCCTTACATGTCTTTCCCCCGCACGAGGCTCGAGACATCCGCTCCTGGCATGGCCGGTAAGAGCAGGTTGGGACCCTTGAAAAGAAAAAAAGAAAAGAAAAATAACAGAAAACAAGCAAAACAGAAAAAAGGGGTTCCAACCATCTTCAAAGAAAATCGAGCACTTTGAAAAATGTGAGTCCATGATCTTTTGTTTTTGAGAATCTCTTCATCCACAATTCATTTGTCCTCTGTTCACTGTTTGCCATGATGCCGACTGACCGAAGAAGCTATGAGATGACTTGTGCGTCGGTTGACCTCGTAAGCTGCTAAATGATCTAGGAAGTCCTCTACTACGATCTAGGTTGTTTGTTGCTATAGAGGTCTGGAGAGTTGCATTGGTTTGAGTTAGGCTTGCTTGGGGACAAGCAAACGGTTAAGTGTGGGGGAGTTTGATAACGATGTAATTGCACATGTTTGCGCCCCTAGTTCTTATCCGTTTGAGGGGCATATTCGTGTGTTGTGGCCTATTTTATGCTAGGTTGTGTTCCTTTGTCCCATTTCAGGTCCTAGCACATAAAGTGAAGCATAGGCGCAAGTTTCAAGTCAATCAGAGATCAATTGACGATTCGAGAGAGGAAACTCGGGCATGACCTGAAGAAGAATGGATTTCTACCTCACTTTATGGACAAAGAAGCATGCAAGCTTGTTATGAAACGAAAGAGGACGAGACTACGAGCGTCTGGGATCAAACGGCGATTGATTCGGAGTCCGGATGAGGGAGAAACGAAGCATTAAACAGAGGCTGAGCGAGTTGCACGGCCAGAATGGTGATATGCACGGCCGTGCACCCTGGCCGTGCGAGAGGGCTGAAGTTCGACTAAATGACACGCTGCGTTTTGAGTTGCACGGCCAGAATGGTGATATGCACGGCCGTGCTCCCTGGCCGTGCGATTCGGGATTTCCTGGTTTTAAGCCAAATTCCGAACCAAAGAAGAGGGAGAGCTGGGTTTTTGGATCCCAAACACCCAAGGGACGAACCCTAGAGAGAGAGGGCGATTTGAGGGCATTCTTGGAGTAGAGAAGGAGGATTTCTTCGCCTTGGAAGCTCGAGGAACAAGCCCGGACTTGAAGACTGATCATCTGAAGATTCTTACTGCAGTCTCTCTCTTCTCTATGGAGTAACTTCCCTTCACTTAGGTTTTGAGGAACCCTAGCTATGTTTGTTTGATTGGATGATTGTATGAGTACTCTGACTGGATAATCTTGAGTTCATATTCAATCTATGCATGTTTTCATGATTCAATTCTGCTTTAGTCGAGATTATTGATTCTGCTTTGATTCTATGAGAGGGAATACCTGATTAGGTCAATAGAGCACCATAGATTGATAGTAGTGGATCGATTGCTTTAGTCGAGGGTTGATTCACTGCTTTGTATCGATTGAGAACCTCTTTCGATAGAGGGAGTCTAGTTCAGAACGCCTTGATCAGTTGTTCTAGAGAAGGATACGTCCCTCTAGGCAATTGACTCAAGAGGGCCTTGTTCCTTTAGTCGAGACTCAAGGTCTAGTCAAGGATTCTCCGCATTGTGAATGAAAGTGAAACAGGTTAGAGATCATCAATCATTAATCTGGCTAGTGGCTAGGGGGAATCATACCTAAGTGAGTTCCCAACCTGTAATTAGATTAACTTTAACTGTAGTTTGCTAGAGTAGTTTTAGTTCTTTCATCTTAATTTGGTTTGCTAAATAATAAACTGAAGCTGAGTAATAGTAACTCTAGAGACCCGTGGATTCGATATTTATCACTTGAGCCACTATACTGCAGTCCCTTCCATTGGTTACACTTGGCCTCTGTTAGGTGTTGTGTGTTATAGCGAGTCAAGTTTTTGGCGCCGTTGCCGGGGACTTTCTAGAGTATTAGGAAAGGCAGAAGTTTGTTACTTTAGCGTTTTTATTTTCTTTTCTTTTCCACCCTTGCTTTTCACTTGGGTGTTTTTGTTTTTGTTGGTGCAGATCTGAATCATGGATCCTCATGGCTTCTCCAACAATTGGGGGTATCCACCACCACCCGAGTGGTATTACCCTGAGACTCCCTGGAGCAATCAAGGCGGAGAAGACTATGGATTCGGGTTCCAGCACCAACCCCCTTACTACGGAGAACAACCGGACCCCTGGGCATATCAAGAACAACCTCATT